TTTGAATTAGACAATTTTGATATTTTTCAAGATAATCTAATTAAGCATATTCAAGACCACATCAATAATAATCATATTGATAAAAATGATGTTCAAGTTTCTTATAAAATTAATAGTCGTGAACAAGCAATAGCTTTAGATGATAAAGATGATTATGATGCATTTATTAGCGAAGGCAAAAAATTAGAAAAGTCAAACAAATTTATATTATTAAATATTGCGCTAAAATTACCTCATAAAAAAAATAATAAAAAAGGTAATAAAAAAAGAAAATTTAAGATACATTTTGACTTTATATTATATATTATAATAAGTTATAATACACATATATTTAACAATATACTGTATATATTTATAGAATTTAATTGAGGAATCTAGTAATTCGAATGAAGAGACACAAGAAATAAAAACTAAAAAGTCAAAAGCGAACCTTGTACCAAAGGAGTCAAAACTTAATTCTAATGAAATCGAACTAGCCAATATTATTACGCAAATTCAAACTAAATACCAATGCAATGTTTATGCAACGCCTTGTTATATTGAAGATGATAAACATCTTGTATTAATACCTATACGCTTACAATTGTGGGCACAAGATATAGTAAGTGGTATTTCCATTCCTATTTTTTGTTATATTAACATTTTATATTTATACGTATATATGTATATATATACGTACGTATATATACTGTACAAGGGTGAGAAATTAACAGTTTTCTAATATAAATTAATTTTAAAACACATCTTATTTGTAGAAAAATAAACTCACTACTATCGAAATGCCACCTTCGTACCTGACCTTTGGTATTATTAATACCATTAAGGCTAATATTCAAGTACCACAATTGCAATCACCATTTGTAGTTAAATTAAATTCAGGCTCAATTCCAAGTCTTCAAGAATTTTTTGAAGAGTTGGATAAAAATCATAATGGTAATGGTGTTTACTTAGATTTAAAAACAGGATTTGAATGGAAAGAAATAACTGTAAATACTATTAAGGACTTAAGTGATACAGAATTAATTCAATTAGAAGTTACTAAAATTGGGTTG